CGCTATCTCTCCCAGAACAAGGGACTACATGAGAGATGTGGTAAAACACCTGCTTTGCTTTGCCTAGGCGGCTGTTGATGATCTTCCTTCCCCCGTTCTCCTCCCCCCACACATGGTGAAGAGTCCTCTCCTCCTCCTGAGTTGGCCTCACTTAGCCTTCTCGTGGTCGGCAACCCCTTAACCACCATCGTCACGCGGCCAGGACTACAGTTGCAGTAGCGGACAACAGCCAACAGGCTACAGTCAATCTCCCTATTCTCTTGCTCCTCTGAGAGGCTGCCTAGTCAGGCACGAACGGAATACCAATAGACGATGTTTAAGGTCTTTGGGTCTACCCCTCCACTCTCCTCTGCTCCCTCTGGTAGGATCAGCGGGCACCCTACTGCTACTCCTTCCTCTCCCCCTGGTTATCGCCCACGGCCGGGTGGTCTCCTCCTTCCCTCCATGATATTGTACTGTCTCCTTGGAGTGGGCCTCGGGGGGGGCCCCTATCTTAGCGCGCTTCGGGTGTTGCTTCCCGCTTGAATGAGTGGACTCGCCCTCTGGGGCTTACATGGCTTGCTACTAACCTTTCTTTTCTCTTTTTGGGATTTCTCAGCGGGTTTTCCTGGTCCTTCCTGCTTTCTTCTTAGTTAGGATTTCCTTGTTCATCCTTCTAGCCGGGCTTGGGTTTCTTTTCTTTGAGGCGAGATGTGCGGTTGGCTCCATACCAGAGGGGCTTGGGAGGTTGGCTTTTTCCTGTGGCGAGAGGAGGAATATGGGTTTTTTGTCATCATAGCTAGCACTCCATATGTTTTTGTACCCTAAACAAACAATTAATGAGTCAAACAAAAAAAAAGAAGTCCCTACCTTTACGTCTATCATCAGCGACCGGAGAAGAGATCTTATCAATATATTCGTTCTACTTTACTTCTATCTTTACGAGCCTTCTTGACTATCTCCGAGACACAAGATTACAGGGTCTAGTGTATACTCACTTGACCTTAGAGTTACCTACCCCCTAACAATTGGCCACAGCTGAAAGTTTGAACTCATCTTCATCGAAGGCCGGGTACAGGAAAGAAAGAATTACATGTAGTGACTATTTGGAATAGATCATATTAAAACCTGTGGTAGGATCTATATTTCATGGGCAGAAAGAATACTCTAAAGTATCTGACAGGGGTCAATTTATTGAGGATGTAGCACCATGGTACAGTGTGAAACAGGCATTGAAGGAGGCAAAGAAAGAGTTGGACATACCTCAACACAATTGACTGGCTTAGTCTCCCAATCTCAATCCTATCAAAAATGTATAGAGCCTTATGAAGCAGTGTATTAAAGCAAGAGCTCACTTTCCCAGCACAGTTGATGAAATGCGAAATGCTGTTCATGAACAGTAGGATCAGCTATGACCTACTGAATGGAATCAATATATTGATAGCATGCTGGAGCAGATTGTGAAATTGCAGGAGCATGGCGGAATGCAAACCAAGTGGTAAATCATGTAAATTAAACTCTACTTTCTCTACTCTCTACTCCATCTTGTTTTATCATTTTTTGTTACTTCTTGTGATATTGTGGTGGTGGTTGTAGTTGTTACAACTAGGTCGTTCATCAGTTGCTTGTTTATTTCTTTTGTCGCCAAGCTCGTACTAGTACTGCGGCCCACAGGACTTCAAAGGAAGCGAATTGCAGGACAACATCAATCATTTTTGCTATCGGTATTGTACTCTGGCATTTGTTGTAAGTTTTTTCTCTTTACTTTTTTTTCTTCAAAATATTTACTTAAATCTAACAATCTTGGCCAACCGAATTTGTAAATAATTCACCATCGCAGGCAATGGGTCCAAGTTTACCCCTCTTGCCATGGTATATCATGGTATTTTAAACAGAGACCCCTGTTTTTCATGGTATAATAAACGATCGATCGCTAATCCCAGCACGGGAACAAACTGTGCCCCCCCCGATGTGATAGAGTACGGTATGTGCAACGGACTGGGGTAACAAATCACCCGGTTGAGTGCACGATAGCCTAGCCTTGGGCGCTTAATACCGTACCGGACTACACAATTCGCTACCAGGCAGCCCAAGTCCCAATCAGGGGGGAGGTATACGTGCAGTGCGCGTACTCGTACAGCACTCGAATACCCCCGGAATAGGATTAGTGTGCCTGGTAGCGAATTTTATTGTTTTAGGCCTCCTATGGGATACTTTAGGCCCCCCTAATCGGGGAAACCTTATTGGGTATAGTACCCGTAAGAGTAAGAAAGTTATCAAATGGTGGATTCCGGGGAACTCGCATGATAATCCCTGTCTTGCAGGAAAACACCTCTCTCCAGGCACGATTCCTGTACGAGTACTACACTGGAGGAACAGTACCAGCCAATCTCAGGGACCCCCACAGCATGACTTACCAATAGTTTCGCTACCGGTATGCCAACAAGGCTCAATTCCTTACCCACGCTGAGGGAGATAACACTGTTATTATGATCTGAACCCCAAAGCCGGAAAACATAACCATAGAAAACGCAAGAGATCGGGGCGAAGCCTTTCCATGAATATTAATCACATCCGGTGATACCTGGTGTCTGTGTTTCATTTAGGGTTTTTAGGTTCTGGATCGCCTGTCAGGAATGCGGCCAGGTGATATGCGGTTAGGAGACATGCACTCACAGGCCGCGGGTCTCCTGTTAGTATCACTCGTTTCTATATGGCATAGGGCAAGGCTATTTGCTCTGTTTCTTTCACATCCTATGCTATTAGGCACACCCCGGCCCGTTAGAGGCCCACGAGAACCCCCGGCGACTGCGGAGTACTAGGCATCATCCGACGGGATAGTGTAGTCCATTACCGCTCGTGGCATTTCTTTGTATTTCTAAAGTTGTGAGCTATTTGGAGATATCTATCTCCCGCTCTCTCCCCGGCTAGCATAGGAGGATCATCGATCTTCGTCATAGTTGCCTATCATTGATAGCCCATTCCCTCACCATCCTTCCACTCCCCGCCTCGCATCGAGCCTATAGTGGTTGTACGTTCGCTGCTCCATCCTTTCGTGCCATTCTTTAGGCTTTATTCTTGGAGACAAGCCGTAAAATCCCCGCCTCAATGACCTGGACTGGAGCAAGGCTTCCCGGAGCTGGCCCGGGCCGGGTTGGAATACGGTAGATATGTGGGGTGGCAGCTAAGCATCCAGGTAATCATGCATAATCTTGCACAGAGGGTCAAACTATTCTCTCTACTTCCGCCAATGCGGAAGAACAGCTTCTCTTGTTATGGCCTAAATACATACAATTCCTTTAACAGCATACTTCCATTATCCGTGCCGGCCAAAAGGTGACCCAACCGGGAAAGTACCTGCCGGACTTGTTGGCAGGACGTTATTCATAGCTTCAAGGCAATAGGCAAGTCGGTTGTTGCTGTAAACCCTCTCACAAAAGCGGCCTTCTTGCCTGTTTGCAGCTTGCGTACCCAAGCTGGCGAAAGACCCTGAATTTAGATCCCGGATGCAGGAAAAACACTACGAAGTAAGCAGGTTATTTCCTGGCTCAGGAGATGCACTGTTTACCGAACGGTATTAGAATTAAAATATCTGTTGCTCTCTTCAACCCATACCGGTCGCGTAAAATTGTAACAATTGACAATCTCACTTGGGCGTCTGGGTTCCCCCTCCAAGTGAGGTCAGTTAATCTTTGCTCTTACCATACCTATCTCAACTGATGATAACCGAGCCTTTTCACCTTTTTCAGTACCGGTTAGTGATGGACACGATCATGATCGAGCAGATCATAAGTGTTCTGCTCGAGCATAGTCTGATCGAGAGGACGCCATGATCGAATGATCGAGCTAATTGGGAGACCCTGATCGAGTGATCGAGCAGTGATTGAGCATACTTGAGTAGCTGATTATCATTTCCTTTTTCATGTAAAAATATTGCCTCCAACCGCAGGTGCTCTGATGGAACACTTTGCAAGAGTGTTAGTCAAAAGGCTATCCAGGGGCCATTGACGCAATATTTGGTAGCCATTGTCGGTGGAATTTCAACCACTCGATAATATCTATATTCCAGTCTACCCTTGGCTCTTGGAAGTGGATATCAACTTGGGATTTCATGAGATCATCGTCTAGAGCAAGGGCATTTTAGACAAGTGAATTGGTGGGTTAGGCATGTTGGGGCTTCGATGGTGATCGAGCATAACCTGCTCGAGCAAAACTCGATCATGATCTGATCGTAGCCATCACTAGTACCTGTATGGTTCCTATCACCTAAGCTCTTGCTGCTACGAACACCCTTAACCCACCTCGTTAATCCCTAGAAGAAAAAATATTTCGGAGGGTCCTAATAATATTGTAAGCCCAGAGGTTGCTCATGCTTCTTTAGGATTTGAAAAATATTCGAATGAACACCTCGCGTAGGGAGAAAATGGACGGTTTTGGGACGAGGGAAGGTTCGTCATGATAAGTAAAATGTCGAAATCTGATTCAACCTCCTATCCCGCCTCCACCCAACTAGACGCAGCACATGAAATTTGTCATAACATCCGAGCAGTGAGTCCTGGCGATCACGCACCATCGCCCCCGGGGTAAATCAAACTTGGGCACAAAACAGTCAAGAGAAAGAAGACAATGTGCGCACAAATTCCATGCCTTTTCAGAACGTGTTAGAGAGGAGGTACAAGTACAGGGTAACCTGAAAGGGTAAGAACTTGGGGGACGTTACTTAACCCCCTTCCCCTACTCTGAGCTCTATGCAGGATAAAGTAACATTAGAATAGAAATGAGGGAGAGAGGAAGTCACAAACAAAAGAAAGATTCTAGAACCGCCGCGATTGCTCAGAAGGACGATACTCGATTCACGAATACCATGGTACCGACTTTTCAACTCCAAAGCCAACCTCTCGAATACGGGAAAAACCCCACCGTGCACTGGTACGAGGTGCAAACTCCTTTGTCCATTTACGAAATTCCTCCCTATCATTCTGGACTCCCGGACATCGGTATTGCTACCCGTCCGGGAGGCCCTAGAACCCGATGGTGAATTGATAACGGCCAACTTGAACACGGAACCCGCGGTTCTCTCCGTGCTCTCCCCTCCTGTTCCCATCATCCCTTCCCCCTTCCCCCCCCACTTGGACCATCTGAAGCTGTGCCGATCGGTTCATCCCCGCTTCACGCAAATATGCCAACCGCTTCTCCTCAGCTCTCGCCTCTCGCCTCTCTTCCCTCGCCTCTCTCCTCTCTTCTCTCTCCTGTTGCCTCCTCAACTCCTCTGCGTACAATTCTGCTTGCCGTCGCCTCTCGGCTTCAACCTTTTCAACCATTTCCTGGGCTTCCCTTTGTTCCTCCTTCCTTTTCTCCTCCTCTCTCTGCATTTCAATGTCCCTCTTCCTCACCTCGTCATCATGCATATCTGCCAACCGTCTCTTCTCAACTGCAACCTTTTTAAGCTTCTCCCGAGACTTTTCTTGTTCCTCCGCAATCAAATCCTTCATTTCCTCATCCTTTTCTTTTATAGCTTCCTGACGCTCAATTTCTAGAAGTTCAATCTCCTCTTTATATTTATTCTCCTGCGCAATCAAGTCCTCGTTAATGCATTGACCTGCATCAGTCTCAATTATGGTCCTCTTTTGTGTGACTATCTGGTCCTGGATATCCAGTACCGCTGGCAGTTTCGGCATCAATTGGTCGATAAGTTCCAATCCGGACTCTCTAGTGCCATGAAATCTCTGAAGAGTAGCGCCCTGCTCGATAAGCATTCCCCAGAAATCGCGATCCTCACAGAGACCCTTTTCCCGAACCTCCCCATCTGCTTGACCAACCGCATTTGACCATTGTGTAGTTGTGAGAAACACGTTCTTGAGGGCACGAATACCGCACAACTTCTGGAACATCCTAAGGTTCTTCATGGAGGAGCCATCCATGCGGACATCAGTGATTCGGTGGAGGTAGATAATCCCGGAGAGAAGCCGGTTCTCCTCGTAGGTTTTTGACGTCCAATCACAGATCTCAGTCAGCACCTCGGTGTCGGTTCTCGTCGTATCATTGAAGCCAGGAGTGTCGACTAGGGTAACCGTTGTCCCCGCGTGCTCAAAAGAGTAAGATTCGACCTTGCTAGTACCTTCCTAGTGTCAGCGGGCGAGTTCATATCCTGGGCCAAGCAATATCTTACAAGAGTGAAGCCCATCGCTCACTTTCACCTCCGAGCGACCAGATACTTCGCTAATAAAGTAACTTTTTCCGACGCCTGCCACTTCTTTCAGCAAATTCACAGTAAGTGGTAGACTGGCTTTGGATTTTACCTGTAACTCCCATGACTGCTATCAAAATTTCTCCCCTCGGTACAACGTTGGTCTCCATTGCAGAGGGCTGCGGAACTGACCTAGGAGGTCAGTTTGGGAAATTGGCTGGGGAGAGGACTGGACGGTCGTAAAACGCGGTGGCCCGCAGAAAACCGGGGTCTCGTGAAACTAGATAGCGGATGAGTCTTCGGGGGGACGGAAAGAAAATTTGTATAGGCGCTATGGCTGTAATCGAGTCGCTTCATGGGGAGATACGTTCGAAGAGAGAAATTAGAAGCTTTATACCACACCTCCAAGAGGAGTTGTAGTACACCACCACCACATGGAACAGGAGTGCGCAGCCCGGTTGGCTCGGGGTGGTCAGGGTTTCTGGTTCGCTGTAAGCAAGCTGCCTGATCAAGGGAGCTTACCGGAAGCCTTGGCTGAGCCAATCGCCCTAGAAATGATCCCAGGAACGGGTGGCACAAGCGGGGGTTTGTAGGAATACCGATATAGGAGAAACACTTTCGTGAGAGATGGTAAGGAAATGTCACAAAGCGAAAATCAGAACCATCTCGAAAAGAAAACAAACTGGAGACGCACAAGATCGCAATTAAACTTCCACCCCGCAAGGGCCAGTACTGTTCTCCAGGTACTACGGATTTGCCCTCTCCCCGCCTTATCAAAATGGAGCGAGAATTTCTATGCCCTCAAAGGAATTGATTCGCTCAACGAGCTCCCCGTCATTCAGCACCTTTTGTGCTTTTACGCCGGAACATTCTGTGATTAAATCACCGCAACCTTCTTCTCAGAGAGACCAGTTACCCTCACATTCGTGACAGCCAAGTTTCCTAATACAGGGGTCGCGAGTTTGCATTCGTAAGAGCCGCGGATACGTATGGACTATTTGCCATTTATTCGGCGAATCCGGTACTTCTTGACTGCTCCGAGTAATGGCACAGTGAACCAATGAAGGTGCCGGTATCCAAAGTCCGTGTGATCTTCCGACATGATATGCGCAACAGGTAAGGAGGAGAAAGCACTCAATCGAACAGCCAACAGACAGATGTTGTTGCCTATCGCTTGACCGGTCCGAGACAGTGAAATTCGAACCAATGCACGCTCGATCTGCAGCAGGCACCTTAGCCGTACCTAATCAGGGTTATTTTTTAGGCTTTCCATCCTCAAGTGATACAGCATCTTTACCTCTATTGGTTGCCAATGAATTACGAGTAAGTTATAAGCGCTGTTAAATAGTACTGTACAAGCTCCCCCCAAAACAGGATTAGTGTAGCTAGCCTGATCCCCAATTTTGGTTTTAGACCGCCCGCAGGATAACTTACGCGACGTTCGCCTACCACATCCGTTACAAGGGTCAGGCTGCAAAAGGTGGCAAGGTGGCCGAGCACCAGTATGGTACAGTGCAGGACAACCCGAACCTACCCCCCCCAAAGCTTCCGGAAGATCCCGACATACCCGATTATCAACATTCGAGAAAACCCTTTAAGAATAATGATTCCTCTTATGATTATGTAAAGACCCTTCTTGAAAGCATCTAATGATTGCTATCTTATTTTTAATCTTATCAAGGTATTTAAAACAACTGACAGGGATCACGTTCCCGGGGTCTATTTGATAAAGATGTGTAGCTTCTTCAACTCTGACTCCAACCACAACTCCCGAGGAACAAAGGAAAAAACAAAAATTATATATATATTCTAATTCACTATTTAAAAAGCACCTTTACTAGAAGAATTTTCAATACCTTCTCAAGCAGAGACTATTCCTGATTTAGAAATCCCCGATTAAGCTAGTGTCGGGGCAGATTTCGGTTGTCCGAGTCGGGGGTTTGCATGGGCGCTCAGACGCGCATGGATTTTTTGCCATATATTTTGCTAATCCCTGTTTAATCCCTGCTTCGGAATACTTCTTGCCTTGGACGAGTACTCGAGTACTACTCGAGTACTAGTACGGTAGTAATTAATGGGGTGGTGCACGGACCAATTTTGTAGATTTATCGAGCTCCTAGGCCCTTGCAGAGTACAGTAAACCCTCCCTTAATTCCAGGAGGCTGGGGGGCTGGATGAACTGGAATGAGTGGAGGGTTGGAAACATGAGAGGTGTCTTGGCAAATCAAGTGATATATCATGATACCGTCAAGTAGGTATAAGACATTTACATGTCTACTGCTATGAAGTATTTAAATATGATATGATGCAGAGTGGAGTTGTTGTACATTTATATTATAAGAAAAACATGTTTAAAAAGAAAAAAAAATCCTACTCAGCTCCCCTCTCAGTAGCATGAAAATATGACAAGATTGAAGTTTGAACAGTAGACTCCACAACTTTCCTAATCCTCTACAAAGTCACCAAGTGGCATAAATTAGGTACTTCCTGAATGAAGTTATTGGATAAGGTAGTGTCATTAAGGACTTTATAGAGAATAGCATGAGTTGCATCAAGTACTTCATCGGTAGTGAATGTGGATTTCTCTGTCACACAAGACTGGTAAAATGAGTTTGAACCTAACTGAATCTTATCCTTTCCAATATCCTCCTCTTGTTCTCCATGAGTGTAATCTACCATTTCAATAATTTCAGTATCAGTCAATTCACCTGTAATGACTAACCTTTCAGTGGGATTGAGGAAATAGGATATGGCCATTGGGTCACAAATTCAGAGACAACTAAAGTCCTTCTCCAGAAGAACTTTAAGGTTGAAAATCTAGATTGATAATAAAATATTAATACTCATAGTAAAGAAAAAAAAGTAAAATAAAGAAAAATAATAATTATTACCTCATCTAATGAATTTAATTCCATAAAATATGGATCAGGATTTGCTTTCTGTAGTTGTTGGAGTTAATGGTAACAGTCTGCAGCTAAACCAATCAAAGGTGCTATATTACTAGGTCTTTCTGCTGGAAGACCAAGCCCAAAGTGTCCTGCTAATCCTATATGCTTCCAGCAGTTTGCAATAGTTTCCTCTGTAATACTACTCCAAGCCTTTTTTGCAATCTCCATTACTTCAAGTTGAGAAATCTTAAAAGAATCACAGGCAGAATTCTCCTTATCTCAAAGAAGTGCTAGCTAAAGAAAGCTTTGCCAATAGTATCTTAAAGGTACAAATAATGCCTGCATCAAGTGATTGAAGCTGAGCAGTAGTATTTGGTAGAAGAAAATCAAGATGAGTGGCATGTAAATCGAAATCAGGCTTAATATGAGCTACACAGTTGTCAATAAGCAAAAGAACTTACCAGCTCAAGAAGTCATATCAGTATCAAACTTTTTCGACCAATCAAGCCAAACAGCTCCAGTCATCCAAGTATGCTTATTTGAGGTGTAGGTATATCTGAGACTCAAACCAGTTCGTTTTCCAAAGTATCAGAGTTTTTTTGCTTACCTAATAATAAGAGGATCTCTCTTATCTGTACTAGTGACATTTATACAGAATCTATAAGTAAGATGGATCTTGCTTTTTTTGGTACCAGTGAGTTGCTTGGCTGTTAGCCCAACTATGAAGGCCATTCAGTAAAATAGGCCAGTTTCATCAAAATTATATCAGTCTTCATTGGCATAGTCCTTGCAGGCCTCATTTATTTCATTGATTTGTGTCACATGCTTCCACAAATCAACTAATTGTCCTTTACTATAAAAGCAAACATGGGGTAATCTAGTCTTTCTCTTAAATTTTTGAAGCCCTCCATTACTCCATTTTGGTTACTGCTCTACCGGAATATCTTCAATCTTGCAAAATCACTTGGCTTTTGTCCTCAGTGTTTCTTCTGTAACTTGTATGCCTGTTTTTAATTTTATCAGCAGTTTATTAAAAGCAAATATTACTTTAGGGTACTAACCTCTTCCCTGTCACTGATGTATCCAAATGTTTAACCTTTCATCAATACAAGGCAATTTCACTTTATTGTTCCACTTCGTCTTCAATTCCGCTTCTGATATTTTTTCCTAGTAATCATACCCCTTTCTAAGTATATTAGTAACCATTTTACCATCTACGCTATAGTGGAGAGCAAGAGCAGTATTGGTAGTAGGCTTTGTTCTACTTGCATTCTCAGAAAAATTTGCCTTGTATAGCTCGAATTTAGCTAGATTTGTCAAATTCATTCCATGCACTTTTTTATTCTTTTCTGCATTGGCTTTTAGTTGCTGATTCACAGTGGATCAAATAACTGGCATGGTGAATGACTGGATTCTTCCGGCCAAGAGAGATAAAAGAAAGAAAAAAACAAAAAAATTAGACTTTGGACAAATTCTGGAGTATGCAGAGTTGGAGTAACTAAGATGAAATTTATTTTCTCTGTTATAGGGTAGGTTAATCCTATATCTATTCTCATAACCCTTAACCCTAAACCCTACTTTCTGGAATTAGGGCAGTTCTATTTCCTGGAAGTAGGAACTATGGGAGGGTTGGAAGTTGTAGAGGGAATTCCCATAGCACCAAACCTGTTCCTACACAGGACCAGAATAACAGGAGGGTTGGAAGTCTGAGAGGTTGGAATTAAGGGAGGGGTTACTGTAATAAAAAGGCTGTGACTCTGGACGAGCCGGCTGCATCGCAAATTCTACAAATTTCGACTAAATTGAACATTACCCTGGATCCGTACCACTTTCTACCGCCTGAGCTTTGTATAGCATAGACTATATAGGGTAGTCTTTGGGAAGCACTTCCCGCAATTACGGACTGGGCTGTACCGATATTGAGATAAGGCGGATTCGCGTGTACCCGTACGCCCGGTTGCTGCGTCGCCTAGCTTGCATCATAGAATTGCACTGTTATCGCAATTATGACTGGGTTGAGCGAAGGCAGCCGTCCGGACTCCAGACCACCCCTTTGTAGCCGCCAATAGATCTCGAGACTGTGAGGGTATGTTAGAGGAGCTGGTCTGTCTGGTCGAGAGCCCTTTTTAACTTGCTCGAGTAAAGCCCTAGCGCTCGGTCAAGATGTCAATTTTTAGCTAAAGTCGCGAATGAACCAATCTTCATTCACACAGAACGCAGGATACGGTGGGAGAGCAAGTGGGAATGCGCGAGGTCAAAGGACTTCACGGAGAATTAGTGCATAAGTTCCGTAGCGCACTTCCCGTCATTTCTTATAAGACTGGTTGTGCTTGAGTACAGTACCGATAAGGGATCAGATATACTTGTAGTAGTGATAGAGCCTGACTTGAGGGCAAACGCGGTGGCAGGCTCAGGACGGTGCAGTAATCGGGTAGTGATCTCAGTGCTTTAAGTTCGTTAGATCCAGCATCGGGTTCTCGACCAAAACCACTATCCGAACTAGAATAGGCCTAGCCGAGTAGGTTAGCGAAATTACAAATATCCGTTAATAAGATCTAGAAGACTCAACCTCGCCAAGCTATATACTCCGTCCGGAAAACACTATTCCCTGTCGGGGTGTTTTGTCTCTGAGCGGGCGGGGATCTGGGCCCGATGGTGGACTTAGCGAGTTTATATGGTATTATCCTAAGCCGTCTTTGACCACAACTACTGGAATAAGCTGGTGGGGGATGCAGAAGTCATGGGGATGACAGAAGAGCAGGAACATTTGTCCACTCGGGTATAAAGGGCCACCGGGGGTAGACCCTGGAGAGCGCGCTCTACTCGAGCACCCATGGTGCTCGCACTATGCAGCCGCTCCTCGTTATCCCAGATCACGCAGAACCGGATACCAGTGTGGAAGAGGTATGTTTACTGGTTGTGCTCGAGTAGTGGCATTTTGCGGGCGTCTCAGTATGACATAATACTCAATATTTTTGTATGATATATCGACTGGTTCTTTCTCTTCCTGTTCTACAAGGAAAGAGGAAACACGCCCACTCCCGACCACAACCCCCACAGAGGGAGGACAAACACCTCATATCCACAGCAATTATACAACGGTTCCTGTTAGTCTAAATCGTGTTCTGTTTATTCTCTCTTTTTTGCTCAGGCGTCAGCTTAGTCGAACACACCATTTGATCCCGGAAGT